CACGACAGCGGTAGCTTTGAGCATTTTTTACATGCTTCCAGTCAGCGACGATCGATAGGACTTGCTTCCCGAGTATAAAAAGCCACTACAACCGCCTTCTGGGCAAAGAGAGAGGTCCTGCCTGCTGTTGATCTTGTTTAAGATGAAGGATTCTGCCATAATCTGCCTCATTTGTTACGTTTTCTCCGCATTGCCAGGTTACGGTGAGTATTAAAAGCACTTGCTATTTACTCATTCATAGAATCATTCGGCTACGTGAGTACGGCAGATTAGAGTTGAGGGAAGAGCTGATTTACTCAAAATTAAGCGCATGATGCCTAGGGGAACATCTAAGACCGATTCAAATGTACACTGATTATAAGGTGATGTACAAAGAATTTAGTCGGTCAATTACCATTCGTCTTTGACTTGAATGAATGAAAACCGACCCAATATTTTACACCAGCTTCTACACACTTCCGCTCCACAGTCTTTCGTTGTATGGTGCAGGTTTTGCCACAAAATTTTGTTTTTTGTTGGTTCTATTAGTGTAGAAAAGGATAAAAAAATGTAGACATCTTCTGTACAATACAGAAGCCATAATTACAGCGTTCTTGTTCGAAAGAGACGGGAAACCCCGGCCTCTCTGTCCACGTGGATTTTACCCGTGCACATTGAAAAATATTTTAAGAAGACAAAGAATCGAAGCGCTTAATTATGCCAATATAATCAAGTGTCTCCCTTTAAGGGAAATCTAAGAAGAATTTAAGGTAATTTTTCGGCTCTGAATGCCCTTAAAAATTTAACAATCCTTTAAAATATTCGAAAACGAAAGCGAACCAGCCACCCACGCCCAAAAGTTCACTGCTCGAGCGCTCGAACATAAATACCTTATTACTTCCGGTGTACTTTTCCGGTGCCCGGTACTCGCCATGTGCACATTTCTCTTTTTATTTTCTGTAAAATATGAAAGTGTTTAACTTCTCGGCCTTGGGAAGTTGAAGGAAGAGTGGTTTACTTCAGCTTAGTCTTAATTTCTAGGGAAAAATAAAGACCCCGTCTGTAGTTCAAGTTTAAAGGTTTAAAAGGTAAATAAAGCCCAGAAATTATACCATGTGAAAAGACTGTCGTTCCAGTATAAGCCCGTGTAAGGGGGTGTCCCCTGGACACATCCGGTCCGGCCCGTCGATAAACATTTCTTTCCCAAGCATAGTTATGATTAAGTAGGGTAAAATCAAAAATGCGTTCATTTTGAGGTAAAACCCCATTTTCTTTCTCCCGCCTTATGAAGATACAGCCACACACGATATAAAAAGTAAAAAGCCCTTAATGTCAAGTTCGTCAAATCCAACGTTATTTTTGTGTTATAACGACCCGTAGTCGAGTTACGTTTTCTAACTTTGTAAATGATGACCAAAACGAAAACACACGGTATCAGAACTACTTCAGTAATCTATTATCGTATTATCATGATGTGTTTTCCAGTTAATTTTTACAACAGTTTGTTGTTGTTTTTTCAACGGGTTTGAATGACTCTAAGGATTTGTGGGGGATAATCGAAAACGTAAATGAGCTGCCTTTAATACCGAAACCAAAAGCAAAGGTCGGTACCGGAACTAAATGTTACATTACTACGTTATTTCCGGTATCTGTTAGTGGAGTCACGGGATGATGGGAAGATCGGTGTGGCACTTCGCGATTTCTCCGCGTTTCGCAAAATTTCCCGCAGCCCCCAAAATATTCAATTCCCCAAATCGTCTTTTGTGAAAATGATATAGTTTTAAATTGACGAGAATTATAACTTAAATCAGACCCTGGCAGTCGATGTTTCAGCCGAAGATGAGTATCAAATCGAGTTCTCGCAAACGTTTAAGAAGCGATTAAGTCCAAAAATCTTAGGTGAGAGCAGATCGTTTTTCTTTTAGATTTTAATCGCACAGTTTTTAGCTGGTTCCCTGTACACTATGGTAAGCCTGCTTCGTTTCAACGAAGGAAGAATTATTGCGTGACGAGCCATGGAAGATTAACCTCAGTTGTGAATGCGAAGAATTTGATGGGCGCTTGCCATGGGATCGGATTACATTTCAGTTGAGGAGCGAAGGAGGAAATATTCGTTTACTGTGGGCCCATGGGCGTTATTCGTTGACTCGAATGTCAAAACTAAAATAGTCCAGCATTTCTTCTTCCAAAACCCGCAACCTCTAAGAGAACGTGACGGCTTCCTTTCAAAGCTAATGTATTTCGTGATTTACATTTCATAAAGAACCTTTTAACGGACAATTAGTTTCAGTCTTCATACATTGAACCGCAGTACGATCACCGCGGAATACCGTAAAATTCCGAAAATAAGCCCCTCCATGTACAAGCCCCTCCAAATACAAGCCCCCCAAAACGGCAACGCAGAATCTCTCCACCAAATATAAGCCCCCCAGGGGCTTGTACTTTGAAATTGCCCTCAAATATATGTACAAAGTAAAACAAAGCAAAAACGGTAAATTTACCTCCAACTATAAGGCTAGCCCAATCGATTTTGAAACGAAAATTTCCCTCCGAATATAAGCCCCTCCAAAAATAAGCCCCTCATAAAGGGCCTTTGAAAAATATAAGTCCCGGGGCTTATTTTCGGAAGTTTACGGTGTACCAGTGAAAGTAGCAATCCTCTCTTTCCCCTTCCCATCGTGCCCCGCGCGCCTTTTCCCCTCTCCCCAGCCTCCCTGCGACACAAAGTTGAGAGTTTTCGAGAGTTTTCGATCCTCGTGGCCAAACCAATACCCATGGTCAAAGTCTTGAAGTAACTGGGAAATGAAACTACTGCCCGTGCCCTGCAAACGGCTAGGCCTTCGCATGGCTTGGATGACAATATGAGAATGGCGGTTGCGTCGCCAGTAGGATCCAGTAGGAGAAGTAAAAAATCCTCAATTAATAATACTCTTTCGTTGCGTTTTTAAAGGCGTGACTGTTTCTTTCCTTGTACTTTTTCTTTTGTCCTCAATTATAAAATACTGTTAAAGAACTGTACCTACGGTCTAGACTACACGTAGTCTACCTGCGTTCAGCTCCAGTCAAGAAGGTAATACCCATTCGGACCCAATTAAGCACCGATCAGAAAAGGCGCTGGGAAAGTAGCACTTTGACACTTTTGTTACCGCAGTTACTTATTTTCAGTTATTCTGTTTTTTTCTCTCAGTTGCTGAGCCGATAGAGCTGCCGCCTGTCAAATGCAACGAACCAGTACTTGCAACAGTAGAAGTTGATTCCCAGCATAGATTCCGACCTTTTTATGTCCGACTCCACCGTTGTGAGGGTTCGTGGGAGGAGGTCAATCCGAAAACCAAGAGGTGCGTTGCTCTTGGTATACAGCATATCAACATAAAAGTGTTTTCATTTGAGACAAACAAATATGATGTTCATTCTGTGGATAACCACACACGGTGTGGTGCAGAGTGTACGACAGGTGGCCCAGATAAATGCGACCCTTACGTGGAGAAGTGGAATGAAGACACCTGTAAATGTGACTGTAAGTTTGACGAAGCACCACCACGTGACATCATGGAACCAAAGAACGGCTCTAGGTGAGAACTCATATATACAGTAAAACCTCTATTTACCTGTGTATTAAGCGGCCGCTTATCAAATCCAAGTTCACCGTTTATTTGACATGTNGGAACCAAAGAACGGCTCTAGGTGAGAACTCATATATACAGTAAAACCTCTATTTACCTGTGTATTAAGCGGCCGCTTATCAAATCCAAGTTCACCGTTTATTTGACATGTATTTAGCGGTCACCTCCATCAAGTAAGCGCGGTCACCCCTTAGCTAGGCTTCCCAATTGGCCAATTTTAGTTGGATAATAGTGCGATGTTTTGACAAGATAAACAAGGCAATTTCACTTGTTAAACGTCTTATAAAACATACATATTGTTAACAAAGGAGGTAGCGTGGCCGAGTGGCCTGCTCGTTGGATTCGCAATCCGGCCTTCCCGAGGCTCGCTCTCGCCACTTGCTGCATTTGTTCGCGGTCGTTCCGAGCTCAAATCCGCGACTACGCTCGTAAATAACCAACTGGTTGCCTTCTGTTAGAATACCTCTTTTATAGCGGCGGTCATCTAACTATTTCGCGAGGATGACCGACTCCATGTTACAAACGGAAGTACACTAGGAAGTTACTTGTGGATCGGCTACCTTGGGTTCATATACCGTAAATCCTCTATTAAGCCCCCCTCTCAAATAAGCACCTCTCTCTAATAACTCCCTCTCCCTTTCAGAAGCTCCCCCTCTGTTTTAAGCCCCCTCTCTTCATTCTTATTATTCTTCAAGGATGGATGGATTATTCACCACCTGGAAGTTAGGATTTGTTTTATTCTTTGGCTGCATGACCTTCAACCTTTTGTACTTGAGGGTTTCCACTTTACATTCTAGTTCTTTATGGAGAACTGATGCCATTGCCTTAGCTAAACTAAATAAGCCCCCTCTCTCAAATATGCCCCCCGTGTCCATTAGCCCCACCTCATATGCTTTACGGCATTTAAATTTTACTTTCCCACTCGTCACTCATGCGTTTTCTACCACTTCACTACGTGTCCATTTCAAGCTATCTCTAACACCTGTGGGGATTTTTAGTTTTAGTATTTTACAAGATAGCGTTTCAGTTCTCTCTCGGTCACATTTTTGCCCAGAAATAAGCTATTTCCGAGTTTCAAAAACTTTTTCTTAGTTTTAAAACGAGGCCAACTGCAAAATCTGTCTTGTGAAAATGAGCTTAAGACAACGCAGTTAAGGCAGCTCGAAATTGACCTACTCATCTTAAGTTGCCGTTCTAGCCACTCCCGTTCGAGTTGCCAAGTGCTCCAAGAGTTTCAGTCCCAATCCAGATGGAAGGATTAGAGGCAATTCGTTACAGAGAAGCGATCATAAGTGGATCTAGTTGGAATTAGAAACGGGGCTCCCCTTTTTTATCGTTTCCTACTTTTTTCCTCCTTCTCATTTCATGGACGTGTGCTTTTTCCTCCCTCAGGTGGAATAAACACCGTTGTGATTATGAATGCAATCTATCGACATTCAGTGCCTGCTCAGGAAAAAAGGTAAGACGGCTTTATTAAATGTTAGAAATTTTTAAAAAAGCCCGTTTTACCGGTAATTAGCGAGTGTTTCTGCCTTTCTTAGGACATTTTCATTGGTTCTTTATAATCGGGAAGTCCTCTCTTAACTCCGGAATAACATCCCAAAGGTGTTTATTTCAATGACACTTTACTGTAGTTGCTGTTGCTCGAGTGAGGTTCGTTTATGCAGATCCCCATTGCACCAAGATCAAACTAAGTGTACTGTAAGAGTGAAATAAACTGTAAGTACTTTTATATGCTTATCCTTCTACAGGAATTGGACCGTAAGACATGTTCCTGTGTCTGCAAGGGGTTTCACAAGCGTATCTGCGAGAACAAAAATGTTTCCCTAAACCCCGACACCTGTGAATGCGTTGAGAGTCGGAAATCACATTTAATGTCTAAAAGTAAGTCGAATCAGTCATGGCCTTTTTTAAAAAGATTGCAAGTTCCCAATAAAACTTGACGTTTTCTCGACTGACTGACTGACTGACTGACCTGCTGTATAACTGGTCAGCTACCTACCTAACTAACTGACTGACCGATGACTAATTGTCAAATTAACTAAATTACCCAACTACCTAACGGACTGACACTATACATGGAGACTTATCAAGGAAAAACTTGTTCAAGTATGTTGTTTTATGTACACCTACTACCAAGGAAAACGTGAAACGAAATTTTTTACCGTAAATGAGGTTTAATGTGCTATATGGTTAAGATTACGGAATTGCAGGCTGGACTTGCCAAATTGTATTACACTTAACAGTCTCTTATCTCCCTCAACGACGAACATTGGGTACGGCACTTCAGTTGGTATCCGCCTTATAGTGAACCAAACTGGAGGAAGGCAGGTACCAACTCTAATCGCTCGCATTAGGGATGTGTCTGTCCTAAAGACGTGTTCCTTCAGGGGAACCCAACGACAATTTTCGGAAAATATCTGTTCGGAAGACGATTTGAGATCTAGAATTTTCGGAACATTTTTTCCAAAATTTCTTGCTTGTCTTCCTCTCCTAGGATTTTCGAACATCTAAAAAATGGTATANACCAAACTGGAGGAAGGCAGGTACCAACTCTAATCGCTCGCATTAGGGATGTGTCTGTCCTAAAGACGTGTTCCTTCAGGGGAACCCAACGACAATTTTCGGAAAATATCTGTTCGGAAGACGATTTGAGATCTAGAATTTTCGGAACATTTTTTCCAAAATTTCTTGCTTGTCTTCCTCTCCTAGGATTTTCGAACATCTAAAAAATGGTATAATTGCCCATTTTTAACCGATTTTTACCCTAAAAGGGTCACGTGCAATTTTCGGGAGCCTTTTTTCTGGCTGAAATTTTCGAAAAGGTAAGTCTTGATCCCTATAATTTTCGAATCACTAGACTTTCAGCTGGGAAATCCGAACAGATGAAAAATTTTAGGGGATAAAAATATGCCTATATCTACCGTTTTAATACTAAAATACTTTTAACAATGCTATGTTTGAGTGGTTTTGAACTATATTCTCGTTGGGTCCCCCTGTTCCTTAAGAGAGAGTCGATAGCCTGCAAAGCAGGCGTATTTTGCAGTGCGAGCGATCACACGAATGCTCTCCCACCATCTTGGATGTTGAAACAGATAGAGAGTTGGGGGTAGGTCAAAAAATGATTCTCAGGGAAAGGACAGTGGGTGACGGCCTGACGTGATCAATTTGATGAGCAAGCTAGACCGTCGACTACTGGCTATTGAGCTAAAGTTTTATCTCTGGTCAGTTTTAAGTTGCAGATATCAATTCTAGGTATCTATCTCTTGCTTTTAACACAAGATTTAAAGCTCCTTTGGTTTTGCTTTTATTACAGGTTCGATTACCTACGTTGTGATGGTTACTCTTTTGGCAGTTCTAGTAGTTATTGTGTTGTTCGTCTTGGCACTCTGTTGCCGGCGTAGATGCAAAGCGTCATATACGACCGATTCAGGTAATCTAACTAATGACATAATAATAGGATGATAAGGTTCCTTTTGATCCATCTTCAAGTACTTTTCTCATTTAGTTTAGCCTGTGCCAGGCTCTAGGACAGGGTGGACGAGCGAGAAAAGCTAGCTAGCAGTGAGGTAGCGAACGAGAAAAAATGGCGGGAAGATAGAAGGGGAAGCCTGTTAGCACCGCCCGACTACCCCGGCCACTTCCTGAAAAACAGTTTCTCGTTTCAGAGTGTCAAATAATTGACGTAGTAAGAGTTGAAATAAACTGTCACAACTGACCAATCATAGGGTCTACCAGGCAGGAGCTGGTATACTGGAATCAGGTATTGAAAAAAATGATTACATGCTCCACTACTCCGTCTCTCCACAACTCCCACGCAATTTTCGCTCAGCTTTCTCGATCCGCTTTTCTCACTATCTTGGAGCCTGGAACAGGCTCAGTCAGTCACATACTGACTTTTTATATAGTTTGGTATGCACTGGGCGGTGTAAATGGCTTTTAAAATACTTTATAAGTGCAAAATGCATACTTTCTGCGAGTGCGGTAGTTTTGCTCGGCTTTATACAACTGTGCGGAAGATCTATATCTCATCTTTCAAGGGGACACAATGAAGTCCAAAACGAAAACTGGAGACTGCCACAAAGTTTTCAATAAACGTTAACATCTCTGCTTTGTTATTGCTGAAAAATGTTCATTGTAGTTCATGCTGACTTTGGCTTTTTCCTGTATTCTCAAGAACCTCGCAAGAAGACAAAACAAAAACAACAACAACAACAAATTCGCTTTATGGAGAACTGTCCTGAACTGAAACCGTGGCAGTTGAGTTGTAGTGTTGTGGTGTCTCCCTAATCATGAAACAAAGCAAAACAAGTATACGAAAACACAACAGGGAAAAATAACATCACAGTTTGTAGAACAATAAAATCAACTTGACAGTCTCGATAACGGATTATGTCAACCTACTTGTTGCCCTTTATCTCGAATAACACAATTTATGACACAAAAGTTTTGATTGGTTCAGAGGTCATTAAGAGCCCTTACCATTTGCACGGACAGTTCGCTAAAATTTTCCGTAAAAAGATACGGTCTTGTTTTTCGCTTAGTTAAAAAGGAACGGGATTGAGTTGTACCATTTACAAAATACCGTTGTCCACTTTTTCTCGCGAAGAAGCATGGCACTCTTAGCACTGGTAATTCACGCAAGGGTATAGAAACTTTCGATCGTTTCGGTAAAAGTGGGAAAAACCCAATACCTCATAAGGTGTACCTTTTATGTGAAAAATTTCCAGCGAGATGAAACGTTCAATTTGAATTCTCACCGAAATTTTCTCGAGTTTTCTATACAAATGGTAAGCGCTCAAAGTCACTGCTGATAACTGCCTGCGGACAATTGTCCACTCATGCGCATTACAGACAGTGCTCTGCTTATGCGCATGCCTAGTTTGAACACCGTCTTTGAGGAAACAAAAAAGATGGCGACCGGCTCTGCATTTCCCCAGTAAATTACAAACCAAAACAAGCATAACAATTATTGAACTTGGTTCACAAAATATCGTGATTTGTCGGTGTCTGGCAGAACAGTCATTGTCTCTGATCAGGGACAATGAGCGATCTTCTCGCCACCAACAAATTACGATATCAACACCGCCCAGTAATAGTTTAAGACATGACGACTTATTTCCAGCCATGCCCTTTAACTAGACACTAATTTATCTTTTTTGAAATTGCAGGATCTGACAGGTCATCTGACTGTCAAATCTCGGAAGGCCAAATCAAATCACATCATCAGTATGTGACTAATGTTTAAGAAGACAAACCACAGCAGCAAGTACAAGAAAGGAACATACAGAATACATGAGATTAATCCCCGCACAACTCTTAAGTGCGTTGTATGTTCTTAAAAAACAACACTGTGAATTTACAGTGAAGTAGTATTTACCACTTAATAACTGATCACTAACGAACGAAGGGTTTTCCTTGTTCTAGATTTTATGGACGAAATTTCTTAACACGTTTCTAAGTAAAAACGTTAAAATGGTGGAAACTATTTTCTGCAGTTTGTAACGTAGTTGAAGTTAGTCTGAAGTTCTTTTCTATGAAAAGGGATAAGTAGTGTTTTGTGAAACACGTTAAAATTTTACACTCTTTTTAGTAAACAAGAAGAGAGACTTTATTTTTTGTAGCAAAAACCGTGTAATTTAAGGATTTACAATAAAAGTAGTTTAAAGTAAAATTAGATTGACGATTTTCCAGTTACTGACCCAGTTAGAGAAAGAATCCAGGGGTCAATTTAATAAAACTTTTACACTTTTAATGTACAAGTGTAGCCATTGTTTTACAGTCTGATAACAATAGCTACACTTGTAAATTACACGTGCAAAAGTTTTATTAAATTGACCCCAGGTGCTCCCAATAGGAGTCGAACCTATGAACGTTTGGGTACCAGTCCAAATGCTCTGCCAGTACTAAGCCACAAGAGACTTAAGGAAGCTAAGGACATTATTATACTCAAGTATTCACCAGGCTTAAAATTCACCCCATCACGTTTCTATCGTTGTGTAAAAGTACAGTACTTCCTCGAATAAGCGCCCGGGCACTTATTTGGAAACCGTTGTGGAGTCTGATACACAGACGCTTTTAGTGTCATCACGCAACGCTGGGAGGGAGCGTTGCGTGACGACGCTAAAGACGGCTGTGTAGCAGACTAGCGCCTGCCTTGTGTCAAACGTTTAATTGTTTTGACACTTATATAAATTCTTTGCATGTCATAAGAAAGGACAGAAATGACATTTTCAATGCCGCTAGTAACTTTCCCACGCCCTAGCTCTTTAAATTTAGCAGGGAAAAACCCATCTTTGTTTTAGAAGTCACTGCCTAAATCTGTAATTGCTTTTCCTTTTGTTTTCCCTGTCACACCTGTAGTCATATGACTGACCAACCCTCTTAATAGATTTGCATAATTTACATAAGTGACGGTCAAATACTAACGAAAGCAGACACTTGTTAGCATTGAGTTACATGCCCCCAGTCAGGCAGATCGATAGGATAGGCTTTCCGAGTATTAAAGCCACTGCAACCGCCTCCTGGTCAAAGAGAGAGAGAGAGAGAGGTCCTGTTGACTTCTTTAAGATGAAGAATTCAACCATAATCAGCTTCATTTGTTTCTTTTTCGCCGTATTACAAGGTTTGGGTGAGTAAATCACTTGTTATTCATTAGACATTCACTCATTCATTCATAGAATCATTGGTTACACGAATATGTAGCAGATGAGAGTTGAGGGCAGCGCTTATTTGCTGGCAGTTACATGCATGTTGCCTCGGACAACAACCAAAATCGATTCAAATGTACACTTATCATAAAGTAACGTACGTGGAACTTTGTAGTCGGTCCCTTTTGCCGCCAATTACGATGCGGCTTTGAATGAATAGACTACGAGTAGTCCCCCATTTTTCCTCAGGGATAGTAGAGCGAGCGAAACGCGGGCGCGCGTGAAAATCACCCCACGCGAGAAAAGGCGACACTCGGCGGGGAGAGAGAAAAAAATCATTTTTCTCTCTCCCCGCCGCGTGTTGCCTTTTCTTGCGTGGGGTGATTTTCACGCGTGCTCGCGTTTCGCACGCTCTACTGTCCCTGAGAAAAAATGGCGGACTACTCGTAGTCTATTGAATGAATGAACACCCAGTCAATACTAAAAAACTCGTCACTACACACTTCCTCTTAACAGTCTTACGTTATACGATGCAGTCTTTGCCACAAAATTTTCTTTTTGTTGCTTCTGTTGGAGTCAAAAAGGCGAAAAAAACTTGGAAACTTTCTGTATAAAATAAAGAAGCCATAATTACAGCATTCTTGTTCGAAAGACACAGGGGAAACCCCTTTGTTCACGTGGATTTTAGCCGAGCCCAGTTGAAAGATATTTTAAGCAGACGAGAAATCAAAGCGTTTTAATTATGCCAAGATAATCAAGTATTACCTTTAACAGAAATTTGAGAAGAATTTAAGGTGAGTTTTCGGCTTTGAATGTAACAATCCTTTAAAATATTAGAAAACGAAAGCGAACTACCGAGGCCCAAATTCAGTTTAAAGGTTCACTACACTTCCGGTGTTTTTTCCCGGTGCCACGGTACTTGTAGTCTGAGTATCAGGCCTTCCTAAGGGGCTAGGGGAGAGGAGATTTTAGATCAGCTCTCTCCCTTTTTCGCTTCCATCTTTCCCCTTTTCCCCAGAAACGCCTGATACTCAGGCTACGGTACTTGCCATGTGCACGCTTGACTGTTTTTATTTTCTACAAAATATGAAAGTGTCATACTCCCCGGCCTTGGGAAGAGGAAGGAAGAGTGGCTTACTTCATCAAAGTTTTAATTACGTTGTAACGAAAACTAGAATAAAAACCCCGTCTATAGTTCAAGTTAGGTTCAGGGGAGAAATTATACCATGTAAAAAGACTGTACTCGTTCCCCTATAGCCTATGTGAGGAAGTGTTCCCTGGTCCACATCGAGCCCGTCGATGAACATTTCTCTCCCAAGCGTTGTTAAAAATAAAATAGACTATTAAAATAAAAAATTCGTTCGTAGCGTTCGGCGCTAGGCCAGCTAACCCGGTTGGGTAAAACCCATTTTCTCTCTCTCCCCGTCTCCCCCCCCCC